CTTAAACAAATTTACAAGAAAAAAATCAAACAATCCTATCAAAAAGTGGGCCAATAATATGAATAGACACTTTTCAAAGTAAGACATTGATGCAGCCAACAAACATACGAAGAAAAGCTCATCATCTCTGGTCATTAGAGAAATACAAATCAAAACCACGATGAGATACCATTTCACACCAGTTAAAAAGGTGATCATTAAAAAGACAAGAAACAACAGATGCTTAAGAGGATGTGGAGAAATAGGAACGCTTTTACACTGTTGGTGGGAGTGTAAATTAGTTCAACAATTGTGGAAGACAGTGTGGCAATTCTTCAAGGATCTAGAACTAGAAATACTATTTTCCTCAGCAATCTCATTACTGAGTATACACCCAAAGGATTATAAATCATTCTGCTATCAACACACATGCACACGTATGTTTATTGCAGCACTATTCACAATAGCAAAGACTTGGAACAAACCCAAATGCCCATTAATGTTAGACTGGGTAAAGAAAATGTGGCACATATACACCATGGAAGCCTATGCAGCCATAAAAAAAGATTGAGTTAATGTCCTTTGCAGGGAAATGAATGAAGCTGGAAACCATCACTCTCAGCAAACTAACACAGGAACAGAAAACCAAACGCTACATGTTCTCACTCATAAGTGGGAGTTGAACAATGAGAACATACAGGAACAGGGAGGGGAACGTTGCACACCAGGGCCTGTCAGCGGGTGGGGGACTAGGGGATTGATCGTATTTGGAGAAATACCTAATGTAGATGATGGGTTGATGGATGCAGCAAATCACCATGGCACATGTATACTTATGTAACAAACCTAGACATTCTGCACATGTATCCCAGAGCTTAAAGTAAAATAAATAAATAAATAAATAACCAAGAAAATTATCTAAAAGTAGAAAATATCAAACTTTCTAATTTCCAATAAAAAATAGAAATTTGCAAAATACAACAGAACTCTGCAGTATTATTTGTTAAGGCAATGAGATTGGAAGTATTATCTTTTGAAAACAATCATAAACAACTGAACAATATGCAACAGTTCTTTTTAAGTGAGAGGGCTACTATCAAAAATAAATTGTTATATCGATTATATTACTATTGTAATAGAAACATGATAATTCATACTAACTTAAGCAGAAATGCTAGTAAGATTGTAAATTTAGGGATTGTAGTAATACTCTATGAGAGTCTTATTTTTCAAAGTGCTACGCTGCCAAATTAAATCTTGAATGGAAATTGATGTTTCATTTGATTCTATAGTTATTGACTTTGTCATGAACTTGCTACTCACTGAAGATAGTTATAAATGATTGCCCAGCTATTGATGGTAGGTAGAGAAGTTGCAAATTGAGCAATAGTTTCAACCTCCTATTCAGGATTCTCTGAATGAATGCTGTAGAAATGATAGGGGCTGGCATTTTGAGCCTTATTTATAATCACTACACAATCTCAGCCATTCAAGACAATTTTTTGTATGATCACAATTGAATATTACTAATTAAAAGTTATAAAATGAGCATGCCACTTTAAAATAAAAAGTCCCACTTAAGAGTGAGAACATGCGGTGGTTTTTATTTTATTTTATTTTATTTTATTTTATTTTATTTTATTTTATTTTTGAGACGGAGTCTCGCTCTGTCGCCCGGGCTGGAGTGCAGTGGCCGGATCTCAGCTCACTGCAAGCTCCGCCTCCTGGGTTTACGCCATTCTCCCGCCTCAGCCTCCCGAGTAGCTGGGATTACAGGCGCCTGTCACCTCGCCCGGCTAGTTTTTTGTATTTTTTAGTAGAGACGGGGTTTCACCGTGTTAGCCAGGATGGCCTCGATCTCCTGACCTCGTGATCCGCCCGTCTCGGCCTCCCAAAGTGCTGGGATTACAGGCTTGAGCCACCGCGCCCGGCTATTTTATTTTAAAATTAAAAGTCTTATACTTTTCTTCTTTGGTATCTAAAAATCTATATTTTAATTGGTGGAAAATTCTTAAAAATGAATGACTACTTACTCATAAACTAATAAAAAAGCACTAAGAATTACATTAATATTGTATATTGTTCTAAAACATTTGTGATTGCAGCCTGAAATTTCCTATAAAAATATGTATTTTCTACAATGTGGAGTGAAAGGTAAACCTTGCTAGACAAGAGGGGAGTAAATTCTGAAATATTTGTACCCAATGTATATTTAACAATATAAATTGTAGGCTGGCTTAATTGTTTAAAACACATTTAAAATTATGTTATGGCTTTATGTTCTGAGATTATTAATTTGCTATAAATGTGTATATTTTAGGCTAGAATTGTTCTTTTTTGCTGAAATAAAACATCTTTTTGCCTATAGTATTGAATATATATATTTATTTTTGTCTGCAAAACATCAGTATTATTTGTAAGAAACATCAGTTACCAAGTGAAATAATACAAGGTAAAATAATTAGGAAATAGATAATCTAGTTAGACTACCATTTTCTGATAGCAAAACAATAGATTTTACTTTCTCTTCAAATTTAGTGAGCTCACAAGAACATGGATTACCTGTAAATCATTTAGGCTTTAGGCTTCTTTGGATTTGGAGTTACGATGTTCTTTTTATATTATGTTAAGACTATGTGGAGTTGAATAGTGACCTAATGATTATTTCTCCAATTAGGTTTGTCATTAATTTATTGCATTTTAGTAAGATTTCTATTTGTCTTTTGCTCCCCAACAATAAGCCAGATTCTATTTCTTGACAGAAGGCTTAGACGACAGAAGCAACTAACACTTCTGTCTGTTTATGACACTCATTTGAATGATGTATTCATGAGTTGGCAGAGGTGCAGCCATATAGCCTGGCATAGCTGATTATAATGTCTTAGCAAATGAAGAGGGCCCTAGGGCATTAAAAATTCTCAGCCATTAATATTGGTTTTGCCACAAGGCAGTTACATAAACTGACAGTTTGGAAGAGGCATGACTCCTTGCATACTCATACACTGATTACCTCTGAAATATCATTAATATTACTAAGTTCTCAGTTACTCATAGTCTAATATAAAGAGTCAGCCTTCCACTGTGGAAGCAGAATACATAAACAGATTTTCTTGGTGTTAATATGATTTCTACCACAATGCAATTTATCAGAATAAACATTTTTCCTTAAACAAAAATGATGAAAATATGGTAAAAAGAGTGAGTTTTTCTTCCCAGTATAAACTATACAATTAACTACAATTTTGCCTACGAAAATGTTTTGTAAATACAATAAAACTGTAATTAAAGATCACATAGATCATGTTTCCAAATTTTAGTCTTTAGAACTTGTCAACCTAAACAACACACAGACAGAGGCTACCTAAAAGAAAAAATGTGTATTCGGAAATAAATCACTGCAGTATAAATACACATTCCATAGTAACCTATGCACATATTTAGGAGGTGAAAGGAACAAAGAAGTTTTTGAAGAAAAATTAGGAGGATTAATCAATTGTTTAGAAACAATTATTATGTGTACAAAGATCAGTAGCAAGAATGATGCCAGTTCGAGATTCAACATGGAATTGGAGGGCAGGTATCTTTGCAAAAATGCTTTTTGTAAAAAGTTGCAATGGCTTTTGTGCAAGGTTGTGTTTTTTGCAGTTCTTTGTGATCGTTTTTGTTATCACTCATACAAGCATGAGAACCCTCTCTCATGGGCTTCCCTGGCTCTCTTTGTCAGGGTTTTCTTAACATTAGTGACTGCATTTTAATTCTTACAACTTTCACAAATTATATAAGGTTTCTTACAAAAAGAATTTGAACTTAGAGATCATTAAGAATTTTAATAAAAGTAAATTCTGTTAAAACACTAAATAAAATTTTTCTATTAAAAATGTTTTAAAACAAGATGACATCTTACCTAACAGCACATAACAATGCTAAAATTGTTACATTAAGAACACTTTACAATAAGTATACCGTAGATAATATTTAATACTAGTTACATGTTGATAAGAAATGTGAAACTAAGAAGTTGCTGAAGTATTCAAAATTAATCATTTAAAGGCTACAATTATATATTTCAATAATTAGAGTTATCCAATTAACCCCAATTTTCTGAAATATCAAGGGCAATATTGGAATCAATCATTTGAAATAAATTGGGTACCAATATAATATCTTAGGTATATTTTTAGATCCCATGGGGGAAGATAGGCTTTCTGCCACCACTTCTTAAGTTTTAGATCAGAGCTAATTTATTAATATAGCAAATTGAAGAGCAAGGCTTTAAAAAGTGTGTACTCAGTCATCCAATAACCCGGTTGCAGTATCTGTCTGCCTATATATTAAATCTAAATTCTTGAATTATATTTTAGTTGAATAATTACATCAATATCATATTCAAATCTTTTTTTATGGTTTTCATTCTCCATGCCCAAATTTGAGCAAAAGCAAGTAGATGAGAAAAAGACTGTTAACCATACTGATTATTCTTACTCTAAATAAATGACCACAAATCTCAGGCAAAACCTTTGAAATACCTTGCAATGCTTCTACTTTCTCTAATCAGTCATCACTTCTAATCTCTGAGAATGATCTTTTATGTCCTCTTTACTTTCTTAACTCTTTCGACTCAGGACATTGCTTTGTATTCCAATGAGAAAATTTAAGCAAACAAGCGAGCTACTTCATGTTCTCAGCAGCAGATCCACTAATCTGACTAAAGCAATACATGTATTAGCTGCTCTCTTGCTAGAACTGCTGAACTTCCTCTATGTGCCACGAATCTCGTGTACTCTTGAAATCGAGGGAAATAGCTCTTATAATGCTTTATGTATAGTCCTACTTCATCAAATTTTTCTTTCTTTTACCTAATAACCCTTATCCCATACCATATAAATAAATTTCCTAGAAACTATACCTACACCTTCAGATGTTTCCTCATTAGTCTGTTTATAACAAAACTTCTCAAAAAATGTATACATAACATTTCTCACTTATTTATCTTCCTGTTTCTTATTAACTAAATCCAGGACTTGTTTTCTCTACCACTCCACTGAAACTTGTGTATCAAATTTAAGAACAGCTTGCATCTTGGCCAGTCTGAAGTCCAATACTTTTACATTACATTACCTGATCTCCCAGGAGCATCAATGTCTCCTTCCTGAAATACTTTATTTGCATGATTTCCTTGCCACAGCAGTGTCCTTATGTTTTTCCCCTTATCTGGCTGTTCATGAAATGAGATATTGAGCTGGTCAATTAAGGTAACCTGCCAAAATGAAAGTATCAAGTCAGTCTTTATTTGCTTATTGTGACAGTGCAAGCAAGGAGCAAATGAGGGAGGCACCAACTCCCAGTATTACATTTTTTTTTTTTTTTCCAGCGTAATTGCACTGTGTTAAGATCTGGTGGATTCAGCACAAACAGGGAAAATTGCTTTACTGTGAAAAAGTCCTGAACAGAAGGCCTTTTAATGGATCTGTGGGGCAGAGGGAGAAAGATAGGAAAGAGCTAGGAGTAGAAAAATCCTAAGTAAAGAGGAAGAAAAGTACAAGACTCTGATAAAGGGTTTTTGGCAGAGGCACCTGAGAAGTGCTTTAACAAAGGCCTTAGATATGAGGGCCTCTGAATAATGGTGCCTGAGTTAACAAGGCAAATAAGTGTGTGAGCATGGTTTGCCAAGATAGGGAGAGAGTGCCTGAGCCTTTTACTGCAAATCTTTCCAATAAACATATAATGCATACCTAAACCCAAGTTTGGTGAGGGGAAGACAGCTTCTACCAACGAGGCCAGACAGACAAAGCTTTGCCATTACCTATGGTTAAGCCTGATAAACTACACATAAGATTTTACCCTGAAGCAAGACTCCTCAGCCAGCTGACTGACCTTGCTTACACCCCACTCTCTGTGGTTCATTTTCCCAAAAGTGGTCAGGTAGAGTTTTTATTTTTATTTATTTATTTATTTATTTTTATTTTTATTTTTAAGATGGAGTCCCTCTCTGTTGCTCAGCCTGGAGAGCAGTGGCATGATCTTGACTTACTGCAACGTCAGCCTCCCAGGTTCAAGCAGTTCTCCTGCCTCAGCCTCCTGAGTAACTGGGATTACAGGTGCGTGCCACCATGCCCAGCCAGTAACTTTTAAATGTAATTATATCATAATGCAAATTCCTTACTATATATACAGGTTCTACATAATAAGGCCCTTGCCTCTCTCTCTGACTCCGTTATCCCACTCTAACCACAGTGGCCTTTATCCTACAAGCATGCCACGCTTGTATCTATCTAACCATCTTTATACCTTTCTGCTCAGAAAATATTTTCTCATAGTTTTCTTAATCATTCATATCTTTGCTCAAATATTATCTTATCAAAGCAGTATTCTGTGACTACATGAAATAGTGTATCTACTTCCTATATTTATTGCTTTAATTTTATTCTTTAAATATAATCTGGTATCATATTACATATTTATTTGCTAACATTTTATCGTCTGTTTCATGAGAATATTTATTTTCATGAAGGCTAAAACTTTGCTGAATACTTATTGACTAAAACAATGCCTTATATATAGCCTGTGGTTAATAAATGATAGCTAGATATCAACAAATTGAGAAACATAGGTTCAGTTATGTTATCCTATTTCTTAAAGTCAGGAAGTTAATACATAACAGTTTGCTCTCAAAATTTTAAATAAGAACAAAAGAATAATTGGAAAGGAACATAGTGAAACTATATGGTGGTATAGAAATTTAAGAATCTCCTGAGATTGATACCTACACCATTAATTTGGTTAATGTGCTTATGCTATCAAAGTAATGTATTCCAAAAATAAGAATTTTCACCAAAAAAAAAATCTCCATCCTAAGACAATTATATTAAGCTTGATACCTTTAGTATTACCTCTTCTCTAGGTTCATGGGTACAGTTTGCAATTTCAGAAATGACCTTTATTGTAGTCCTTCCAAATGTAATTATAAACCCTACAATCACTGTCACCTTTGCTTCCATGATAAAGGTACACACAAGTAGACACGACAATCACAGGGTGGTTAAGCCATCCAGTGGTTAGTTACTGCAGTTAGAAAATCACTTTATGTCATACTTGACCCTCTTTAAAGATATTGTTAATGTGTACCTCTTTTTATTAGTGAAAACTTCTTCAAATTTAATCCATTACTTTATTGATCTTTAAGGTTTAGCCAACATTTCTCTATAAAAAGTTATATAGTAAATGCTTCAGGCTTTGTAGGTAATATAGTTTGTGTTGGGACTATTCCAGTTTGACACTGTAGTGAACAAAATGCCGTGGATAACTTGTAACTGAATGACCATATCTGTGTTCAAGAAAACATTAGAAAAACAGGTTTCAAGCTCAATGTGTCCTGACAGTTGTAGTTTGCCATCCTCTACTCTTCTTTATCATGGACTTTCATAATGACAGGTGCTAATTTGTATCTGACTCCATCTTTTGCCTTTTCTTATCTTTTATGCTCTTCTAATTTCCCCACCTATCACATTACCAGCAAATTATCCTAACTTCTCAGACTCTTCTTTAAAGGCTCTAACACTTGGCCCTCCCAGAAGATACTATTTCGAACCTTCCTCTTAAGTGAAGGTGTGGAAGTATATCATATGACACATACCTCTGAATAAAGAAATTAGTTTAGATTACATGTTGCTTCACACTGCTACTTCTAAACTATTACTTTTCTTTTTTAAACATTAAAGGAATTAATGAGTTAAAATACTGTGGAAGGGAGCCTGTGTTGTTCACTTATTCATTCTTGTTGGTCTTTATTATATACAACCACTGCCCCAAGACCATTTACTCTTTTTCGTCTAAGATTTAAGCAGCTTTCATGTTGTCTTCTCTACTCCAATGCTATGTGACTTCACTACCAAATTGACAAGTCACTCATGAACCTGGTTTCTGTATACTGATTTCATACCAGGAATGCAGGGATGATTTAACATATGTAAGTCAATAAATGTGGTACACAACAAGTACAGATTTTAAAACAAAAATTACATTATTATCTCAATAAATACACAACAAGCATTTGACAAAATTCACCATCCCTCTATGATTAAAACCTTCATCTACAGATTCAGTGCAATTCCCATGAAAATAGTACCATCATTCTTACAGAACTAGAAATTCAATCCTAAAATTCATATGGAACAAAAATAGAGCCTGAATAGCCAAAGCAACACTAAATAAAAAGAGCAAATCTGGAGGAATAACATTACCTGACTTCAAACTATACTATAAGATCATAATCACCAAAACAGCACGGTACTGGTATACAAATAGGCATATAGACCAATGGAACAGAATAGGAAACCCAGAAATAAAGCCAAATACTTACAGCTGACTGATCTTTGACAAAGCAAACAAAAACACAAAGTGGGGAATGACACCGTAATCAACAAATGGTGCTAGGATAATTGACAAGCCAGATGAAGAAGAATTAAATTGGATCCTCATCTCTCACTTTATACAAAAATCAACTCAAGAGATATCAAGGTCTTAAATCTAAGACCTGAAACCATAAAAATTCCAGAAGATAACATCAGAAAAACCCTTCTAGACATTGGCTGAGGCAAAGACTTCATGACCGAGAACCCAAAAGCAAATGCAACGAAAACAATGATAAATAGTTGGGATTAAACTAAAATGTTTCTGCACAGCAAAAGAAATAATCAGCAGAGTAAACAGACAACCCACAGAATGGGAGATAATCCTCACAATCTGTACATCTGGCAAAAGGCCAATATCTAGAATCTACAAGGAATTCAAACAAATTAGCAAGAAAAAACAAACAATCCCATCAAAAAATGGGCTAAGGACATGAATAAACAATTCTCAGAAGAAGATATACAAGTGACCTACAAACATATGAAAAACTGCTTAACATCTCTAATGATCAGGGAAATGCAAATTAAAACCACAAAGTGATGCCACCTTACTCCTGCAAGAATGGCCATAATCAAAAAATAAAAGAATAATAGAGGTTGGCGGGGATGTGGTGAAAAGGGAACAATTTTACACTGCTGGTGGGAATGTAAAGTAGTACAAACACTATGGAAAATAGTGTGGAGATTCATTAAAGAACCGAAAGTAGAACTAACATTTATTTGATCCAGCAATCCAACTATTGGGTATCTACGCAGATGAAAAGAAGTTATACAAAAGACACTTGCACATGCATGTTTATAGCAGCACAATTCACAATTGCACAATATGGATCCAGTCCAAATGCCCATCAATGAGTGGATAAAGAAATTGTGGTGTGTGTATGTCTATATATATATAGACATAAATACTATATATATGAACACTATATAAATATACTATCTATCTATCATCTATCTATCTATCTATCTATCTATCTATCTATCTATCTATCTATCTGTCTGTGAATACTATTCAGCCATGAACTTTTAGTCCCCCTGTCCTCTTCAGCCATCAACCCATAAGAACACACTGAAAGCTCTCATCAGCAGAAACTGTTCTAACTCAAATTCCTAGTTAAATCCTATTGCATCCTAAATGTAACTTTCTGATTTTCCTTTCCAACAATGTAAAATGTTTCTGGAATTTATCAAATACAGACTCCAAGTCCTTGTGTGAATTTCACTCTGTCAAATAGCCCTGCATTTCCAGCTTTTATTGTGTAGCCAACATTACCATATTATGCTCACATATTCTCATAGCCGTCTTACCCTTCTGTCTTTTATTGCATGTAACTGACAAACCTTTATACTTTATACGAATTTCTAGTTCTTATACCTAAGCAGTACGGGTCTGCTGGAATGAACCACACAGCAAGCAAGAGGAAAGTCACTTTAAATTCATAATTTACTATCTTAATTGAATCTTAAGTAACTCCTGGGAAACATAGTATTCTCCATGTGCAATTCACTCTACTATTCTAACATGCCAATGCCAATTCTCTCTCACATTCTTTAAACCTTAAACCCCTCACCCCCATTATTTTTTATTCTGCGCAGAAGTTTTAATCTCCTACTTCCAAATTTTTGTTCACATGTGCAAAACTACTTTTACTAGATTTGTTCCATTTCTTCTTTCTCCTTTGACATTAACGAACATGTTTTTCATCCAAATGTCAATCTCTAATCCTTTGAAAGCTACCTCTTCTAGTTATGTCTTTCTTATTGAGATAGAATTTTGTTCAGTAATCTAACATTTAGAAAATGTATATCCCTTTGTTTTATATCCGTTTAACCTCTTTCCTTTTTTTCACATCAACCCTACAGAAAGAGTGGTATGTATAGTTATAATTTATTTTTATTGTTTCACTCACTGATACCTATTTCCCCTTTTATTAATAAGAGTACTGAAATTTTTTGGAATCACTGTTTCTCTACCTTTATTAATGTGGTTCACATAAAGTCAAGTTTTTCTTTGGCCTCAGAGTTGGAAGTGGGAGCATAGCCTGACTGCTGAAAGCTTTGTTTCCTCTTTATAGTATCTGGCTTAAAAAGGCTTTCTATTTCAATCAGAAACAATTAAAGCTAACAATGACCCCTTTTGATGAGGTTAAAAATAGGCAGTTTTTTTTTTTTTTTCCATCAGACATTAAACTTTACAGACCATAAGTCTGGAATTGCTGGTGTAGCCATGAAGAAAGTTTGTCTAAAAATCAGGTTTGTCTAAAAATAGAGGAGAGTAGAGCTAAAAGTTAGAGAAATATAGCCATCTCCTCAGTTGAAGGCCTGGATTGTGTTTTGCCAGAAGGTCTGTCACAAAACCTTAGTGATTCCTTTTTTTTACTAGTTTGATTGTATTCTTATCACTTAAATCAGATATCCCTAATTTATAAGTATAATTTTTATATTTTAATTAATTTGTCATTTTCTCACTTTACTTATACTCAAATGTATCACATGCTCCCCATTATTGCAACAAACAACTTCTGCTATGGTCACCAAAAGCTGCTACATAGCAAAACCGTGGAAACTTTGTCTTTGTTTCATTTAACCTCTCAGCATCATTTGAAAGCACTTACCACTTTTTCTTGATAATGTAACACTGGCTAACTATTGATACAGACTATAAGCAGCTTTTAGAACAGTGCAATATTACCTCATGAATTGTTTCATTTTCTGAAGGAATTCTCATAGGAACTCTCTGGGATGTTGGCTATTTGGTTCAGTGGAAGGTTGCCAAGAATCTGCAATCATACATGAATTAATTTAGTAATGTGAATAACATGTATACATTTCTTTTATTGTTTTACATTATTTAATTTTTTTCAGCTTGCATACTTTTTAAATGTAGGTGCTAATACAAATAATATAAGAAATATACATGTATTTTCATCAATCTTTGTACAATTTGGACGAGTTTAGCATGGATGTGTAGATGTGTGAGCCTGGGAATGACTTTTTTCAAATCTAAGTTATGGGCTTTAGCAATAATTATAGTAAGCTCTTTAACTTTAAGTCATCATTTTATTGTATGTGGATGTATGTATTTGTACACATGTATGTTTTCTGGAAGAGAAACAGAAGTGATCATAAAAAACATGGCAAGTGATAAAATTTAGTAAGTAATATTCACAGAAAACAACTCAGTCCCTATGAATGTAATATACTCAATGAAGGTTTTTAAAAATATTTCTATGATCAATGTGTATGACTGTAAATAATCAAAATGGTAAGGATTACTTTCACAAAAAAATGTTTATACTGGAGATTTATATGAACCTTATTTAGTTCCAAAGTATTTGATGCAAGGTGTTATCAAAATTAACAAAAAATTGATCTATAAAATAATAATGTAAAACAAGATGATCAGCCATACTTTTTCACAGCCTCAGCAAATAAAACAAGTTCTGAAGTAAGACTAAATAGTTTGATACTGCAAAGGATATAATATTCTGCCAAAAATTCATACTAAAATTTATGGTGGAACAGGTTTTGTGAAATCATTAAATGCTATTCATTCTGTGTGATGATGTTATTTTACTGATTTATTGTGTGTAAAATGATTCCTTATGCTAATTTTAATGAGTAGAAGGCTCTGTCATGGAGTCCTTATGCATATGTGCATGAATATTCCCTTATGTTATGCTTGGGTGTTTTCCAATCTTCTCAAAGAGTAAAAAATGAACTTTGGGTGAAACTGGAATTGCTACAAAATACTGACTCCATCAGATATGAACATTTTTACAAATACATTGAATGATATGAAAGAGAAATTTGTCAACCTGAAAATGCAAGCTCATTCACAAAAATAAGGGAACACGCAGTGCGTGTTTGGCATTATATAGATAACATTTTATGGGAGCCAGGAAACATAAGTTGGCATTTGAATGTTGATGTTTCTAAATTTTTCAACAGCTTTGTAGTTTGAATATGTAGTTTGGTATGACACTAAGTCACAAGATGTAAGAAATATGTTATAGCTATGTGGTAAATAAAGAGGAAGAAAACTTGGATTGTTGAAATTGCGAAGAACACTTTAAGAAGCTCTTGTATGAGAGTCAGACGATTAGGTTCTTAGTGATGTAAAGATTAAATAGCATAAAACATAAGCAACTTTAGACTGCCATGTTGCTTCAGTATTTCATCCTACTTGGTATACATCATATTATTTTATCATATTTAATAAAGTACTATTGCTTATACTTTTCAATAAAATTAGATTTAAAAATATCTTCTCTTTCTTATAATTCACACTGAGCTTACTAAGAACCTTATAATGTGCAGTGATAGTATTTTTCTAAAGGGAAATGTGGTTCACAGAGAAGAAACAATTGAATATATCAAAAACTTTGTATGTTTTATCCATAAAATATAACCTTAATATCGGATATTTCCACTAAAGAATAAAAAAGTGATTATATTAGACAAATAAATTCTGCAGAAAAATATCAGTAATATGGATTTATAAAATGATATGGGAAACTTTAATATGGTTCCTTAAAACAGACCAAAAATAACTTTTCTGTACATGGTATAATTTAGTGTTTACCTAATACATATAAGTTATAAACACTTCTTTAATATGAAGATATACAATCTTCTCCATTTTTATAGTGCCCCTTTATTGTAAAATGATGTAAATACGCCAATAAAGAGAATATGCTAGTCTCCATATAAATATTTACAACTTTACTTAATGTATTAGTATAATGTTTTAAAACAGTTTAACCATTACAGTGTATTGCATTAAATTATATGATTAGTTAGTCCATAGATTTTTTGTGTGTGTGTCAGTAAAATTAACAAGGTAATATATGATGGAGACTTAATAGGTGTTGTAGATTCCTGTATTATATCTTTGAAATGGCATTAATTATAAAATATAAATTCAAAAAGTATAACAGCTAAAATAAATAGATATTTTATCTTACAACAAATTCTAAGACATAATGAAAAGATAAGAATGAATTAGAATTGACTTGAAGCATAATACCACATCCCAGTGTGTTTATACACATGCTGTATACCATGCTTCATGTTTGCCGTTTTTCCAAAAGTGGTAGATGTCAGTGCAGGAACAGACAACATTGGCAGCAAAAAAGTGTGATACTGCATACTAATGACTGTCCACTTTCACTCTCAATTGTGGCAGTACTTCAGAAAATAGAACATTTATTTACCATATTACCCAGCAATTATATTACTTAATAATTGAAAGAAAACATGTCTGCACAAAAGCTTTGACACCTGCACAGCAGTTTTATTAATGATAGCCCCAAATTGAAAACAATCTAAATACCCATTGACAGAATATTTGGACAAATAATTTGTGTTGTAATCATATACTAAATAAATTTCATCTTAAAAAGGAAATAAATACTGATTTTCACAACATAGAAGAACCCCAGAGGCATCATGCTAAGAGAAAGAAACCATATAAGAGTATGTATTTAGTGTTTAGTATTTAGATTCTATTTATTCAAAACTCTAAGAATAAAATATACAGTCTATAGTGGCAAGTAAGATTGTTAGTTGAGTGTACTTTGAAGTCGAATGAGGGAGATGAACTAATCAGTAATACAACAAAATTTTTTAAATTGATGGAAATTATTCTATATGTTGTTTGTGTTGCCAATAACAAAGGTGTATAACTTTGCAAAACTCATTAAATTGCACGCTTAAATAAGAAAATGTTTATTTAACTGAATGAACTGCAGAACAAAGTAGACAAATCTTAGAATTAAACTTGTGACTTAAACACAGCAGGTAAATACCCAGGGAACAGAACACAGGAAAATGTAATATAAAAAATATAGGAAAATAAATCAAGGCATAATAGATAGATTCTGAAATTACAAAAGATATCTAAGAGGGTTTCTTAAGAGAGACAACTAAGAGATATATAACATTTTTGTTACATATTATTATCCTACTCTTTTATTGGCTAACCCATAGAATATAGCATGTTTGCTTGGCTTATTAATATTTACATCAAATTCACTCCTGTCTGAAAAATTGCTGGTGACAAATTATATTAGATATTTTTCTCTATATGTATATATCTTTACATTTGAATGATATTTATGATGAGTTTTGAAATCTGGATTGGTTTTCCTTTTGAAAACTTAATTGTGCCATTTTATTGTTTTCTATTTTTAATAATTCTTGTTAAGTCATAAGTTGCTCCTTCTCAAGACTTACAACCATTCCGTACCTCAGCTGTTCAGTGACGGTTTATAAACTTTTATTTTTGTCTCTTATTTTTAGCAGTTGTATCTTCAGTTTGTCTCCATTCCGCTTGGTGTTGATAAAATTCATCATAAAATTCTCCATCATTATTTTTGAAGCATGTTTTTTGTCCCAATCTCTTTTCTCTCTTGCTGTAAGTCTAAATAAATGTTTCACAACTGTCTAATGTTCCCTATGCTAGTTCCTATATGTTTATCTTTTTTTTCTTTTTCTCTGTACTTCAGTCTAAATATTTTTGTATTGAATAGTCTTCCAGTTTTATAAATCTCTATTCAGTCGTATCTAATTCACTACTACACCCAGTTTTTAAGTTCTTAATCTTACTTATATTACATTGATTTTTTTTTAGAATTCCTACTTAACCTCTTTCATAGGATTTTAGGTCTCTACTAAAATTTTTCATCTTCTGTTATTTCCTGCTATGGTTCTATTCAAGTCCTACTTATGGTGCTTTTTTCTTTTAATAATAGTTTTGTATTAATGCATCTTATGCAAATTTTATAGTTGTTTTCTTTGGAAGACTTAGTCCAATACATATAACTCCATCATGATTGGACATGAATACATACCTTTTAAACCAATTTTAAAACTTTATAATTCAAAAGCATGTTTTACCTTTGTTAAAAATACATGTATATTTGGTTATTAGGGCTGAGATGGCCTAAACAGTAAAATAAAACTAGAGACTTTACCAATCACAAGCTTCCAATTAAACTCTAACTAGATATTTTCTATGCTAAGCAAACATGTTTTATTCATCTTGCTTCCATGAAAACCTTATAAAAGTCTGTCTCTTGCCACCTTCATCCCCAGCAAAGTGCTAAACCGCTTGCTGACTGATGTTGTCCAATTTATGAATCACTGAATACTGAAATAAACTCCCCAAAATGTAAATGTGTGTCCATTTAAAAAAATTGAAAAAACAATGGTTAAATATGTGTGTGTGTGTGTGTGTATGTGTGCATGTTTGTATGTACACATATGCATGTGAGGTCTCTACACTACAATGGGTAATGTTGTTAAATTCCATTTTTCAACTTTGGGAGCAGATAGAAACTTCCTGAAGTTCATGCACTATTAAAGTACTATTAAAGTCTAGGCTTGGGATTAGAATGCAAGTCTCAACATATTGCAGATATTCATAAAAATTAATGGAAGGACCCCAAGATGACCAACTAGAAGCTGCTAGTGGCTCTCATAGAGAGGAATGAAAGGAGCGAGTCAATATAGAACCTTCAACAGCGAGTCAATATAGCACCTCCAGTGGAAATTAGACCCAATATAGCACTCATTGGGACTAATCAAGGCAGCAACTCGACCCATGGAGAATGAAGAAAAGCAGGATAATGACCCACCTGGGATCAGTATGGAGCCAGGGGAACCTCCCTCATCCAAAGAAGCAGTGAGTGAATGTGCAGCTTCAGGAATCCATGCTTCTCCCATGGATCCTTGCAATCCTAGGGTCAGGAGATCCCCTTGTGAACCCATTCCACCAGGGCCTTCAGTCTGACACACAGAGCCACCTGCAGTCTCAGCAGAGCAGTTACTCAGGCGCACGCGCACACACACACACACACACACACACACACACACACACACACAGAGAGAGAGAGAGAGAGAGAGAGAGAGAGAGAGAGAGAGAGAGACTGGGCAGCCTTAGCCACTCGGTTTTTTAAAGATTTCCAGCAAAAGTACATGCAAACTCTGGCAAAGTGGGAGGGTAGTCCTCTATACATAACCCTATGAAAAGGGCTGAAACCAGGGGACTGAGCAGCGACAGTTTGCAGGCCCTGATTCCATGGCACCTCACAAGATAAAACCCACTGGTTTGAAATTCAGCCAGCCCCCAGTAGCACCATTGCACCTCCCTGAAATGGAGCTCCCAGGGGGAGGGGTAAGTCACCATATTTGCTGTTTGGCTGACTTAGCTGTCTCAGTCTTCAAACACTGGAGAGTCTAAGCCGACCTGGGGCTGGAGCGGGCCCTATCCTAGCACAGCTGCTCTATGAAAAAGTCACCAGACTGCTTTTTAAAGCATGTTCCCAATCTTATTTCTCCTCCTCGGTGAAACCTCCCAAGTGGAGTCTCCTGCTACCCTCACCAGTGGTCTCTAGCCAACAGAGGTTTCAAACCATCCTAGGATGGAGGTCCCAGAAAAAGGGGTGGGCTGCTATCTTTGCTGTTTGGGAGACTTAGCCATTCCAGCCTTTGGGCACTGGAGTGTCCAAGGTGACCAGGGACTGAAGTGAACCCTCAGCACAGCACAACTGCTCTATGAGAAGACAGCTACACTGCTTTTTAAAGCAGGTCCCTGATCTTGTTCCTCCTCACTGGGTGGGATCACCTAACCTTACCTAACTGGGTGGGGTCTTAAACCACCTTCGATAGGTGTGTTTAGTCTGGCAACAGGTTCATACCTTGCTGGGATGGAGCTCCCAAAAGGACGGGCAGGCTGCCATTTTCACTATTTTGAAGTCTTCACTGTTGATGCCTCTAGGTACTGGAAAATCTGAAGTGACTAGGGACTAGAGCAGGCCCCCAGCATACCACGGCAGCCCTGTGGAAAATTGGTCAGACTGTGGCGTGGGTTCCTGTTCCTACATATTCTCACCGGGCAGGTCCTCCAGGCCTGGGCCTCCAGTCATTCCTTGTCAGATCTATTGAGCCAGTAGCAGCTCTGCAGTTCCCAGGACAGAGTCCCTAGGGGCAACTGAAAGCTTCTCTGCCACTGCCTCTGCAGTGGGACTGCTCTTGTTACCCTTGGACTAACAAAGCAGCAAAGATTCAAAGTGCCTTATCCATACCTTCAACTAGCTGCAGTGGACCCAAAGAGAGAAGGCCAGTCTGTCTCTAATGGGTCCTTACCCTCCCCCGGCCCACCACCATGATCATTACTACACATGGAACCCATGGCTTGGACCCACAACACAGACCTTCCTTGGTGGACTGACTGCACTGAGAAGTTGCTGACTTGCATTTCTCTGAGGTAGAGCCCCCAGGAAACAAGCAAAAGACCATTGGCCACCACCACTACTAAGGTCCCTGCCTCTGCTGCCTCCAAGTTGAGAAAGAAACATAAACACTGAGATTGCCCCAGTGCTGCAGTGGGCAGCCAAGGAGTGCCAAGCCGTGATATACAGCCAGAACTCAACGGGGAGGAAGGCTCACACTTTTAGAGCATTGAGCGAGAACCTGGCTGCAAGTGTGGGAAAACATAAGGGAGCTCCACACACAGCCAAACAAGGGTTTACCAACTGACTAATGTGCCTAAGCGCCACCTAGTGGATCAGACCCCAAAGCTTCTCAACACCAAAAATACCTCAATATACCCCCTTCTGAAACCAAAGACAAGAATTTTACTTCAAATAAAAACCCTGCACAAAACTTTGGCCCTGTGAAAACATTCAGAAGGGAAGTATATTGTCTGTACTCCATCTAAACTGCAGTTAAAGTAACGCTCACATGAAGAGATGAGAAAGAACCAACGCAAAACTTTGGTAACTCAAATGGCCATGGTGTCATATTCCTCCAAATGACCACGCCAGTTCTCCAACAAGAGTTCTGAGCCAGGCTGAGCTGTCTGAAATGACAGAAATAGAATTCAAACTATGGATCGGAACAAAGATCTTCAAGATTCAAGATAATGGCAAAATGTAATCCAAGGAAACTAAGAATCAAAATGCAATAATATAGGAGTTAAAGGATGAAATCGCTGATATAAAAAAGAACCTAACATATCTGACAGAGTTGAATAACACAATACAGGAATTTTGCAATTCAAAAACAAGTATTAACAGCAAAATAAACCAAACTGAGGAAAGAATCTCAGAACTTGAAGACTGACTCTCTGAAATATGACAGTCAGATAAAAGCGAAGAAAAAATAATGAAAATGAATGAAAAAAATTTATGAAAAGCATGGGACTATGAAAAGAGGCCAAATAAACAAATAACTGGCATCCCTGAAAGGATGGGGGAGGGTAGAAAGCAAACAACTTGGAAAACATATTTCAGGATATCATCCATGAAAGATTTCCCAACTTTTCTAGAGATGCCAACAAATAAGGAAAATATAGAGAACTTCTGCAAGATTCTACATAAGAAATTCATCCACAAGACATATTTGTCAGATATTTCAAGGTCAAATGAAAGAAAGAATGTTAAAGGTAGCTAGAGAGAAAGGGCAGGTCACCTACCAGGGGAGCCGCATCAGGTTAACAGCAGATCTCTCTGCTGAAACCTCACAAGCCAGACGCCAGAAGAGATCAGGGTTCTGCATTCAACATTCTTAAAGAAAAAAATCTTCAACAAAAAATTTTATATCCAGTCAAACTAAGCTTCCTAAGCAAAGCAAAGGAGAAATAAGACCCTTTTCAGATAAGCAAATGTTGAGGGAGTTTGTTACCACCAGACCTGACTTACAAGGGATTTTGAAAGGTGCACTAAGATGCTAATAGATGGTAACAGAAACACAGTTAAATACACAGACCAGTGACACTATAAAGCAACCACACAAAGAAGCCAGCATAATAACCAGCTAGCAACACAATGACAGGATCAAATCTACATGTATCAATACTAACCTTGAATGTATATGGGCTAAATGTACCACTTAAAAGGTACAGAGTGGAAAGCTGGATAAAATGCAAGACCCAATGGCAAGCTGTCTTCCAGAGACCCATTTCACATATAATGACACCTATAGGCTAAAAATAAAGGGATGGAGAAAAATTTACCAAGCAAATGAAAACAGAAAAAAAGCAAATGCTGCCATCCTAATTTCAGACAAAACAGATTTCAAATCAACAAAGATTAAAAAAAAAAAAAAGTCAAAGGTAGGGAGGTGCATCATGATAAAGGAATAAATTCAACATGAAGACCTAACTATTCTAAATGTATATTAGAAGCTTAATTTTTATATCTACCTCTCTCGCATAAGATATTTTTGTCAATATAAGTTACTTTTAGTGTGTTTACTCAAACAGGAAAATCAAGTAGGAACAATGTAAAAGAGTCAGAAAATAAAATTAAACAAAGGAAATAAATCATTCATAATTCAACTTCAGAAGCAAACTTCAGAAGTGAACTGCTTAGTAGGATTCTTCTATTCTACCTACTCTCATGTAGTTTATTATGTGAAAAATATTAATAAGCAGTCATAACTAGATACATTCATTATAATTCTTTGTTAATTAAATGAACAACCCACTTAACTTAATTTTTGTGGAAAACAAAATAAAAATTTATGATTCAAATAAATTAACAGTATTCATTTACATTGCTTAATAAAGAAATATATCATTTTACTTAAAACATACCAATACTAGATTTGAAAATAAAAAATTATTACTTTGGATGTCAAAGTTTTATTTTGGAGCTTCTTAAAATCCTAAAACTTACTTAGCTTAGGCAAAACAACCTTTGGTTTTCAATGATATTTTTCCCAACTTAAATTAGAGCAGTTACTATTCTCCTGAGTTAACTCTTTTCTTTAAATAAATTGGCTTGTTTTCTTTCAAAATAAGAGGATTGTAGGGGAAAATCCACAATATAAATTGTGTGGAATGTTCACAAGTCTATCTAAAGTCACACACATTTCTACAAGAGAGAGCTTACATTTTGCCTTTCATATAACATACTTCTTTTCTCCATACACCCTCTCAATCTTGCTACTGCATTTATGGGTAGTTTCAGTCTTCTGTAGTGCAGTTTTTCCCGAAATGTGGATGCGATTTTTGTAGAAAAAATTTTACCTTACCCAAAGAAAGATCTCTGGCCTTTCTTTTCTCTGCTTGGAAGTGATCTTTGGGCTTGTAGAATGTCATGCTTGATGCCAGTGTCTTTGTTTGCCTTGGGGCTCTAGCCACTAGATAGCATAACAATGTGATTTGTGATGAGGGCTTTGGGTCATGCTATGTCAGTTCTTCCTCTAGAGGGACCGGAGATTGAAGATATCAGTTTGACCACTGACAGAGCTGAAGACTAACGTTCAACCACATGGGAAGTATGTGATCAAAGTGATGAAGTGCAATTAAAAACTGGGTACCGAGAGTTGGGTAAGCTTTCCTGGTTTGTAATACCATCATACATTATGGCTGAGAGGAGTTCACATTGTCTATGAATCCATGGAAAGCGGACATTGGGATGCTCTATGTTTGGACTTCTTTTGGACTCTGACCTACCCATCTCTTCTTTGGACTGATTTTGATCTGTATTTTTCCCAGGAATAAACTGTAACTGTGGATATGACAGTCTTCAGTGAGTTCTGTGAGTACTCCTAGCATATCATCAAACCTAAGGGTAGTTTGTAAGTGGTGTCCAAAGTAAAGGTAGCATTGTGTAGACTGTGTTGCCCTAAACTTTACAGTTAATTAACTCAGACCAATCCAATTTAGTCATCTATAATTTATCTCACATTGTTTTCCTAATAGATTTTACTGAAGTGCAGAGGATGGTAAAATAATATCACTGTACAGTAAGGAAATGTCTTTTTCATTTCTTTGTTCATTATTATCTCTGATCCTAGTCCCAAAATTTCCTGCCATGAACCTGGGTTTGACCTTTTTATGTATATTTTTCCTAACCAAGGAATTCCTAAGGCCAATTTTTCATAAACAAAAGTATATTAAGAAGTCTTACCATAAAAATTGTATCTGTCTCTCTAGAAATGGTATTCAGCTTCCCTAGGGAAACAAAACAAAATACAGGCATACTGATATTTTTTAAAAATTAATTTAAAAAATTAAAACACAAAACAGAAGAAAGAAAATAGATTCTACCCCTTTCCATTATCTCTCTCCAAAAGAGACTGTAAGTTCCTGGTGGAGCATTTCTTCCAATTCCTGAAATGAGCATTGACTCAGAATATATAACCAAGTAGTAAAATAACTAAAGATAGAAAATGAATATCCATTAGTCTATACCGTTACAAATAGATAAATGAACAAATGCACAAGCAGAAGGGGAAAAGTCAGAACATAATAAATGTATAATAAATAAGGGAATTTAAAAACTTAATATTATGCAAGAGTACTAATGGTTGTCAGCAATATTCACAGATGAATTTTAAAAGATGGAGAAAGCAAGTTTAAAGAGAAACAGAATGTTTGAATAATCCAAAAGCATTTCCTAAATGTATTTACTAATTACTGGGGTGGTTTTAACATATATCCACAAATACTCTAACAGTCCTTGCTTCGGACTGTAAAATGTAGTTCTCCTCTCAAATGTGGACTGAATTGTGCTATTTATTTCTAATGACTGGAACACATAATGGGAAAATGATAATTTTGTTTTGGAGAAACCTCAATGATGACACCTTAATCAAGTGATAAACGTTACCATTACCAGAAATACATCGTGGTGTTACCATATATTTTCCAATATGACATGATAAGCAGATCACTTTGCCTTTGAGACATTCTTCCCAAAAATCAGTAGCTTCAGACCAATCATGAGAAAATGTAAGACAAACATAAATGAAGAGACATTTTACAAATTACCTGTCCAGCAGTCTTCAAAAGCATGGAAGTTATAAGAAGAAGGGCAGACTTAGAAATTGTCACAGATTAAAGCAGGCTAAAGAGACACGATGACTAAATGCACTGAAATGACAGAATCAGTAAAAAGGGATATTAGTGAAGACAGGGGTAAAATGTGAATAAAGCCGGAAGTTTATTCAATAATATTATGCCAATGTTAATTTCGTAGAATTTATAATTTTACAATGGTTTTGTAAATGTTGACTGTAGGGAAAACTGGCTGAAGCATATATGAGAACTCTTTGCATTATCTTTTCAACATTATTTTTGTAAATGTAAAATTATTTCAAAACAAAAGTTTAAAACTGTCAATCACCAATATTTTACTATCTTGAATAAGAGAACAATTTGCAACCATCCTTTACAAATACCCTTTTTTGCTTTCCTGGTTTATTTATCTTAATAATATAGAAGGTCATATTGACAATATGCTATCTAGTTTTCTTATTTATTTATTGTTGGTTTTGTCTCCTCTAGAGCTAAGCTCCATAACTATAGTAATTTTGTATAAATTACTTCACTAATATATCTACTGTACCCAGAGTTCAGTAAATATTTATCAAGTTGAATGATTCAAATTAAATATTGTCTAGTTTAGAAATATGTTTTGTATACAAATACCTCAATTTTTCATTTTGAGGTTTAAGAAAGATACTTATTCTGAGTAGTTTAGCCAAATTTAAACAATACACTTCACAATGCATAGGACATATCTATTCATAATTCTCACAGATATAATGTCTTAATTAGTTCAGGCAGCTATAAACCAATACCATAGGCTGGATGGCTTAAACAACAAACATTTATTCCCCATGGTTCTGGAGACTAGCAAGTCCAAAATCAAAGTGGCAGCAAGTTTGGTGTCTGATGAGGGCACTCTTCCTGCTTCGTAGACAGCAGTCCTCTTCTTGTTTCCTTACATGGGAGACAGGAGAGAGAGAAAAAAAAAATAATAATAATATACTCTCCTGTGTCTTTTTATAAAGGTACTCATCCACTCACAGAGGGCTCCACTTTTATGATTTAAATACCTTCCAAAGGACAGACCCTCATATTGGGGGTTAGGATTTCAACATTTGTGCCTACAACAAATTCTTACTCTATAGCACTTACTCTATAGCACTATACTTACTCTATAGCACTAATACTTTATAGCACTAACACTTACTCTATATCAAATACTTACTCTATAGCACTAATACATTTTCTAAATTTTTATTATTCTTTATGTTGGAAATTAGCCAATTCTGTTCAAATAATAGTATATCATTAGTCATGGTTACCATTATAGGCAATTTTTGTCTATTTCCTTAAGAGAGTTAACCATGTTGTTCTTGGTTTACATGATTGCAGTAATTATTAAATAATCATATCTTATGATAATAAGATATTATATCAGAGTGAATAGATGAGAATAATGATGACATAAATAATCCCAGTTCATGTATCTTTTAGACTAAATCTAGAATCATCAGTATAAAAATGTAAGTACTCAAATTATAGTTTAAGATGTTTTATACATTTTGTTTTATGCCAAGACTTCAATATATACTTATTTCTGGAATTTTATAGTTTTCAAATGACATAAAAATGCAGCATATGTTTTCTGTTAAAGCTTATGAAATTTTGTTGTCTATATAAATCTTTGACTTTTCACCCACACGTTCTTAAAATTAATCATGTTTGTTCTTGTTTTGGAGTACTTGATGAATTATATTGCTATGATTTGTGTATCAGATACTAAATGTTAAATGTTAAATTTTATAAAATTGTCTCGTCCATTCAGTCTCATTCATTCGTTTAGTAGTAAATCAAATTAATAAGGAATGGCAGAAATAAATGAGATCCAATTCCAGAATGTAATACTTTTATTTAAATTCAGTGTATAGATAAAAGTTTTAGTTAATTTTCTTGACAATTTATGCTGTTTTTATACCAAAACTAACAAGAGACTCAGTTATCACCCCATAAAGAAGAAATAATAAACTGGAGAGAATTTAAAAAAATATAAAAAGTATATATAAGTATATATGTGTGTATATATACACACATACATGATATAGATAGATAGATAGATAGATAGATAGATAGATAGATAGATAGATAGATAGATAGATATCTGTGTGTATGTGTGCATAAAAGATATTGGGGACCTAACATGTTCCCTGTATTTGCCCAGCATTTGCTTCTGCTTTTATTAAAATCTTGTAGTTTACCCTTTGCCTGGATTTCCATGAGTTATGAGTATGTCCTTCTAATAGTACTCACCACAAATATAACTTGATTGAAGGCAGTTTAAGTTGCTCTATAAAGGTTATTCCTAACACACTGTGTTTCTCATTGAGATTTATCTTTGAGATATTACCTAATTTGATCTAGATATTGGGTAGATATATGATATGTTATATTCCAATATGACATGCACAATACATAAGATAAAGCCTTCACACTTTCACACCACTAAATATATTTAAACAATGTCAAATTTTGAAAGCAATTTCAAAATTCAGGACCAAATAGTCTGATAAAGACTTGTAATGAATATACTGATTTTTATGATTATGATTGATAAACATATTCACTTACATGTATGTGTTTATCAATTTTTGTTAAACATTAATTACATTTCTTAAATAACATACTTGTTGGAGACTGCTTGAATATGTTCATACTGATTTTAATTACAACTAGTTTCAGTAAAGAAAAAGACAATACTCTACAAAAATAAAATTTTAAATTTGAAAATAGGTATTTTCCCCCATTGAACTCCAAGTTAAGTAAGCTTGTGTAACTCGTGTAGAAAATCCATCACACCCATCTTTCTGTGTTCCTACCGTCAGCATTTTTCAGTAAGAAAACAATCTCAGAAGTGTAATGAGCAATGGTATATTTTAGTTAAATCACCCAGATGTTCTTTTTTATTATAATTTTCCCCTGGAAAACAAGAACAGGTGGTTACTTGTACTCTACCGAGAGAGAGAGAGAGAGAGAGAGAGAGAGAGAGAGAGAGAGAGAGATGATTTTTAAAAATATATAGATGGTCTCATGTCAGTTATTTTTCCAAGAGTCACAGCTCTTCCAACAAGAACATGTTTTGTTATAAGCTTCTTAATTCTGCCAAATTCTATTTCAGCTTACTTCATAGCTGGGTCTTTGCCACAAACACAAACTGTTCTGTGGTCAGTGTGTTAAAACAATCATCTAGAAACAGTCTGTTTGCATCAGTCTTAACTCAAAATATATTATGTATTTCTCATTGGATTGCCAACTCTTTTGCTTAAGCTCATTGTTCAAAACTT